TTTTTTTTTTTTTTTTTTTTTTTATCGTGAAAGTTATGGAAAAATTGAAAGAAGGGTGTTCTGAGTGAATATTAAAATTGAAAGCAAGGTACAGAATGAGAAATGAGGTTAGTTTCGAAGTTGTGAATTGCGTTTTTTAGTCTTTTATTATATTTACTTTTTTTTATTTTCTTTTGATAAATAGTTTCTGTTAGTATAATTTAGTTCTTTTTTTAATTATTAGTTTGTCAGAAGTTTACATTTGCGAATTGAAACGAGTATTGATCGATATTTATATAAGAGATTTTCTTTTAAAAAGAAATTCAGATATCAAACATATTTCGATTTTTTATTTCTAATTATTCATTACGAAGCAGAATATAATATTTAGATTGCGATATTTTTTCGAAATACTGTTATATAACGTAGATATAATTATATTTTTGTTGAATATGTTTATCATTATCAATGATAGATAAGTGAATGGCGTTACTTTGCTCAACATAGTGATACAAGCTCTTCGATAACGAAACGAATAAAAATATAATCTTTCGTGTCAAAAGAAGTCTGATGTAGATCGATAGATGGAGTTAGGATAAATTTTTCTAAACGTTACGAGATATATTCTTCGAACAAAATTATATCATTTAAATGAATATATTTAATAATGGAATGATTCCAAAATCGTTTTCGTATTTCGAGATTTCTGTTATTTTTTGCTTAATATTTTTGTAGTATAGAAAATACCGAATTTAATATTTTTTGTATATATAGAGGAATGTTATGAATCATTATAAATGCATTTAATTCTTTCTTCATGAAGAATATTTCGTTTATTAATTTCTATAGTATTAAAGAGACTATTTTAGATAGAATCACATATTTTTTAAATATATAAGGTGATGCAATTCTTTGTAAAAAAAAAAAACTAGGCCACTTTTTACAAAAAATCATTGGTTTAGGAGATATTTTAATTTCGTTTAATTACCTTCCAAACTAATAATTTTTTGAATTATATAGTTTAGTATTTTTCTTATACAGAATTCCATTGGAAGTAAGCAAATTGTAAAAAAAAAGGCACAATAAGGCGAAGGAAAGTATAAAAAGGTAAGTATGCAAATGGTAAGTATCTCTAGACTTAAGTA